GGAGTGGGGGTGGGGTGGGGTAAGCTAGCACAGCAGCTGTGGGAATCAGTGTGGAGACTCCTCAAAACACTAAAGCCAGAAATGTGATTCAAGCCAGCTGTTCCCCTTTTAGGTGTGTTTCCAAAAGAACGAAAGACTTCAGAGGCAGTGACCACGCGCGCCCACATACAGAGTGGTACAGCTCCTAACCCTAAATCTGGGAGGCGGCCCACATGCTCCTCAGCAGACGAAGGGACACAGAAGGTGTGGGGCGCCGCCGTGCCATACAGCAGGGTGCACTGGAGCCCTCTGTAGGGTGATGGATGGACCATGGGGTGTGGTGCCAAGTAGGACTGGTCAGACACAGCAGCCTAAGCCCTGAGTGGTCAGAAAAGGAGCAAGGCACAAGACAGGTGACAGGGAGCAGGGAGGCCTTTCTCAAATGGGAGGGGCATAGAGATGGGAGAGGGGAGGGAGGGGGCTGAAAGGGGATGGAAAATAAAGAATTGAAGGCAGGCTTGGAGATGGGGGGGCACAGGAGTGATTCAGAGGCGCCGTGTGGTCTACAGTACAGCAAACGTGGACTGACACAAGCAAACTCATTACAGTATAAGTACTGTGCGCCAACTGATTGCACCTCTGGAGTTTCAAATTCATTACAAAAGTAAAACAAAACCCTCAGATTCAAGGAGAGCCAAGGGTGAGAGGCACATCAGAGGGAAGCCAGGCCACAGTGTGGAGCAGCAGCTGCGCGGCCCCCACCCCAGTCTCCTTCTAGGCCACAGTGTCCCTGGCGACGCATCCTCTGCATAGCCTTTCCCTGCATGTGTCCAGTGGGACAATGACAGAGTCTGCAGCATGGGCGTGGGCGAGCTGGGGCCCTGTGCCTGTAACCAGTCCCCAGCCCAGCCTGCGTGGCCCCCTGGTTACCCCGTGGCATCATCCCTTCTCCTCAAACGTGGCTGGGGCTGAGGCCCTTGGGCCGGCACACAGCAGCAAAGGTGACAGGATGAGCGCATACGATGTGTGGGCAGGGGCCCCACACCCGTCCCCAGCAGACCTCCTTTCCTGCAGGCTTTGAAGACGGAAGCTGCCACACAGTTAGCAGCCAGTGGAGAGAGTCACAGGGCAAGAGACCAAGGACAGCCTCCAGCCCACGGGAGCAGAAACTGAGAGGCGAGTGTGGTCAGCAATCACGTGGGCCAGGATGAGGGGTCAGGCCTGGTCTCCTGGGTACAGAAATGGCGACATGATGCAGGTGTGCCGTTGTCACTGCCAACCAGGGGCGACACTGTTCCGCAGTGACAGATCACTGCTGCCGTGGCGACGCCCACTCAGCCTGCGTCACAAATGCTGCCGTGTCAGGACTGTTCCGTCTAGGGGGCCTTCACGGAGCGGCATGCAGAGCCAGACTGCCACATTCGGCACTCAGCGCCTGCACGAGGCCCACACTCACTTCCTTGTTGGCAGTGTGAAGCGGGAGGACCAGGGCTTGCACGCTAGGCCACGGCACAGTGCGGGCTGTGGCCCTGCTGTACGCACGTCGGGCTGGAGCTCAGCTGGGAAGAGGCTGGAGGGGCGGCCGGGCGGGGCTGCCTTTCCGGGCTCCGGGAGGGGAGAGTGCAGAGCCTGGGCCTGAGCTGTGTCTCCCAAGACCCGCTGCGCCCCTCTACGGTCAGAGCACTCCTCGTTGCTTGTTCTTCCTCTGAGCCTCCGCGTCCCATCCCTGAAAAGGTCCTAACACCATTCCCTAGGAGTCCTGGAAGGAGGTGGGTGCTCCACGTGGGGTGCATGGTATCAGCAAGGTTGTGGCCACCTGGCCCCTGCGGCCAGGCCCTCATATGGGGATCTGAGACTCTTGCGCCCCAGTTGCATGCAGGGGCTGGAGAAGGGCCAGCCCGCAGGTGAAGGGTGCTGACATCGCCATGTGTCTGCCTCAGTGCTATGGTCCGGGCGCTTGTGTTGGAGGCTTGGCCCCAGCTTCGGTGTTGCTGGGGGCCCTCGGGACACAGCCTGGGCGGGGGGCACGAGGCCCTCCAGTGGGGCGCCTTGGGGATGTGCGGGGCACAGCGCCAGGCCCCTTGCTTCACCTCCCAGCTCCCCCAGAGTTCCTGCCACAGTGGGCTGCCTCAACACAGACTCGAGGTGGCAGGGCCTGCTGAGCACGGCCTGAGACCCCGGAACTGGGCACCTGCTGCGGTTGTGTCCTGACGTCTCTCAAGCCAGTCTCAGACGTTTTTGGAGGTGGGTGAATCTAGAGCCTGTGACTGATTCCAGGTGGACACTGGGATGAGGACGCGTGCTGTACGCCCTCAGGGCAGGCTGCCTGCGCGGGTGAGGGCAGCAGGGGTGGCTGCCCCCGGGCCGCAGCACCCGCCTCCACTGATGAGGAGCTGAGGAACCTTTCCTCCTGTACCTTCTGGTGTCAGGTGTTTGTCCCAGCGCTGAGAGAAAAGCAGCTGAGAGCCCACACCTTACGCAGGCAGTGGATAAGCCCGGGGGTTGTGACAGCCATGGGCACGCTGGGTTCAAAGGCGCCACACAGCTTACTCCTTTTCCAGGGAGCTCTGCTTGCAGCAGTCTCTGCGTTGCATCTCACTCCTTTGAAGATGTCCACAAACAGCCCCGCACCCACCCCCTGCCTGCCACCCATTGCCCCTGCAAGCAGCGCTCAGACCCCAGAGCTCTGGGGTGCAGGCAGCACTGATTCACGCCACTTCCTTTCATGCGTGGAGCAGGGCTTGGCCCAGCACCAGTGCAGACTAAGTACCCACCCAGTGGGTGTCAGGACCCCTCCTGCTTTTGCCTGTGGGACTCAGCCTGATGAAGGGAAATGAGAAATTCAGGGAGTCAAAACGACTTTTAAGAAAGGAAACGAGGGCTGGGGAGATAGCACAGTAGAATAAGCGCTTACCAGGCAAGCGCAAGGGCCTGAGTTCAATCCCTGGCTCTGCAAAAAATAAATAAATAAGAAAGGAAAGAAGAACACAGTGTTCAGAGCCTCATTTCACCTTTGAGCTAGCCCTAGAGCTGGGAGGCCTTGGCGCCCTTGCTTACACGTGGGGATGCTGAGGTCTGAGATGTGAAACTTCTGGAGAGTCCAGTGGGGCTGTGAGCGTCTGGGGCTGACCTGCAGGCTGTCTGCAAAAGCTGGCAGCGCCCTTATGTTTAGGAAGCACAGAGCGAAATATCAGGGCCTCAAGGGACACCATGCCACCACTTCAGCATGGGGGGAGTGGAGGGGAACACATTGGGGTGCAAAAATACCTGATGACCCTTTAAGCTTTCTTTTTTAAAAAAAAACTTAAGTAAATTTTATTTTAAAGAAATTTCATGTGATTTAATACTCATTAGGGTCACTTTAATGAGGCTGTCTTCAGAGTAGCCCTTTTCAAAAGAACCTTTAAACTTTCTGCATAACTTCCATAAACCTGAATGACTTTAAATGTGCAAAAAGTAGAAGGCAGGAAGATGCCACGCGTGTCATGGCAGTGGAGGACCCTGCGTGGCAGGTGGCTGTGGCCCGACAGCTCTTCTGCAGAGCTAGGGTCTGTGTCCAGCCCTCCCCATCTGCTCCCTCAGAGGCAGGACCCCAGGGCGTCTTCCTGCTGTGCACAGCCTCTACCATGTGGTCCACACCCCTCCTCTGGGACATGGGCACCCGAGTGACATGCCTCAGTGTACTGGCCTGTTAGTTGCCCTTAACCTTCCATGTACTCCACACGACCTGCCTGGAGGGGGGACGTCCCGCCAAGGCCACGGTGGGGTGGGGGCAAGGGCAGGAGTGAGCAGGACGCCTCATCGTGAGTTCCCACGTGCGTCCTCATCTCCCACCTCCACTCTGCTACCAGGCGCTCCTCATCAGCCACGGGCCCTGGTTTCTTTCCACTGTCATACATGTCCCTCCTAGTAACTGGGTCAGACAGACCTCAGAAACGTCACTTCTTGAGGATGACTTTGGGGAGGTGACTAAGTATCTCATCTGCAAAGTGGGGACAAGGAGTCCAATCTTGCTGGGCTGCTGATTCGTTATTGAAGAGACATCACTGCTGTGGGGCCTGGGTGGAGCTAGACGGCAGGACGGTGGGTGGCGCCATGACTTCTGGCCCAGGTCCTGGCCTGGGACAGAGCCCTCGGGGAGGGTGGCAGAATCGGGGGCTAAGATGACCAAGGCCTGATCTCACAGAGGGAAGGCCAAGCAGAGCACGACCACAGGGGCAGAGGGCAGGGCCTGTGTCCAGATGGGCTCTGGAAGCCGTGACTTCTGGTTCTCATGTGATATGCACCAGGGAGCCAGCAGATCCAGAGCAGGACAGCAGCAGATCCGACCTTTTGCTTGAAATCACGTAATCCACGCATTATCGCTCTTGGGCCTGCTACATAACATGCAAGCTGGTTTGGATCTAAAACCTCCCAAAGGTACTGGCCTTGGGACGTGGGCGGCTCCCCGTAGGGCCCTGACTTCATGGCTGTGATGCTGCTACTGGGGGGCCACCAGGCCAGGTGGAGGCCGAGGGTCATGGGACGCTGTCTGGTCCTTAGCCCCTCCGGCTCTCACTCTCTCTGCTCCCCAGCCACCCTGGGGTGGGTGAGCAGCTCTGGCCCTCCACACGCTTCCTCCAGAGTTCTGCTTGCTCAGGCCATGGAGATGGGCCCATTTGGCCTCCGACACGTCCCACCTTTTAAGTTGTTTGCACAGGTATTTTGTGCAGCTGTGCCAAGCTCACGACCATAGTGACTCATTATTTAGGGTCCCTCTGTGCTGCCACAGGTTGCTGGACTTGCAGACCCTGGGTGGTGGTGGGGACCTCTTTCTGTGAGCAGAGTCTGGGGCACCTGGTGGGCGAGGGCCAGAGGTGGGGGGCACAGCTGGTCTCTGTGCCTTCCTCCTCACTCCCTTTACCACCTGGTGCTGCAGCTCTGCCAGCCAGGCCCAGGGTGGTAATCGGGCAGGCCGACTGGTCCGCACCAGCTGGTTCCGGCTCTAGGCCTCAGACCTGCCTGCATATTGCTGTTAAAAATGCAAAGCATTCCAGCCATTTTAATTACTGGGCATTACATAAGACAGCAACCAGTTCATACAAAGGAATAGCAGAGCAAAATGATTTTCCTCCCCGCCTCTTCCTCCCCTGCCTCAGCCTCTGGGCAGGGCTTGGGACCTTGGAGCCACTCCAAGGTATGTGCAGTCTTCTCCAGAGCGGTGGACAGAACTGTGAAGTGTTTTGCTCTGAATCCTCAGGGCAGAAGCAGTCCCAGTCACCTGCGAGGGGTCTGGAGTTGCTGCTTGTGTTCCCACTGGCAGGCTGAAGGTCCCAGAACTCCGCAGCACACTTGATGAGAGCTGGGCTGTGAGCCAGCATCCAGCTGGCAGTGGGGCTCTCTGGGCATCGAGTCGAGGGGTTTATGCTCCTGGCATTCGAACATGACTTTACTCCACGGTGCTCAGAAAGAGGGAGCCCAACAGAGCCCTCAGAGTCCTCGAGGCAGAATCTCAAGGTGTCTTCCTGCTGTGCACAGCCTCTACCACGTGGTCCACACCCCTCCTCTGGGACATAGGCACCTGAGTGACACGCCTCAGTGTACTGGCCTGTTAGTTGCCCTTAACCTTCCATGTACTCCACACGACCTGCCTGGAGGGGGGATGTCCCGCCAAGGCCACGGAGGGGTAGGGGCAGGGGCAGGAGTGAGCAGGACACCTCATCGTGAGTTCCCACGTGCGTCCTCATCTCCCACCTCCACTCTGCTACCAGGCGCTCCTCATCAGCCACGAGCCCTGGTTTCTTTCCACTGTCATGAGTGTCCCTCCTAGTAACTGGGTCAGGGCTTTGCGTGGAGACCAACGCCTAACTACGTAACGCGATGAGGAGCGCTCTGTGTGTCCCTTCCAGACTTCCCAGCATCTCTGAGCCCATCCTTAGCCTTGCAGCAGTGTGGCCACAGGAGGAGGAGGAGCACAGCCAGGTGGGTGGGCTGGAGCACAGAGAAGCAGCAAGCCCTCTCGAGGCGTCTGTGAGGCTGCCAGGGTGTGGGCCCCGGCAGTGAAGCGGACGGTGGACTTGCGCAGTGACGTTGCCCGTGCCCTGAACCTCTCTGCCTCGGCCTTCTTTATGGAAGATGAACATAATAGTAATAGCCTCTGCCTCACAGGGCTGTGAGCATTAGACACAGCTACACCGTGAGGTGCGTCGCGCAGGGCCCAGTGCACAGCATGTCCTCATGCCACGCCTGCTGCGTCTTGTTTGTCCTCATTTTATGGAGAAGTAGTATCTGTACAGAGTCATTTCACAGAGGAGGGACTGGGCCTCGGACAGCTGCTCTGGGTCTAACTTGGGCTGTCCAACGCTGGAAAGCACAGGGCGCTGGCTGAGTGGTGTCCTCCCAAGAGGGGATGCTGACAGCCCCAGGGCCGGGCTGAGGGTCCCCTCCGACAGGCCCATGACTCACAACTGCCTTCACAGCCTGGGAGGGCACGGACATCCCAGGAAGGAAGACATTCCTTGGTGGCAGAAGCCGAGGTGCATGCAGCCCCTGGCCTTCCCTCTTCACATGCCACCTTCTCTGCAGAGGCGGAGAGGAAGCAGACAGGAGCAGCTGCCCTGAGGCCTGACGGCGGAGCTGCTGCCCCAGCCCCTCAGGGTGCCCGCCGTGCGCTCCAGGGCCAGTGGCATCGCATGTCTCTCTGGACATCCGTTTCCAATCGGACCAGGAGGCTGCGGATGGTGATCTCCATGTCCCAGAGATCGTGTCATCTCTAAGGACAAGTACGGCTCCTCCCCAAGGATAGCGCCAGGCCCAGGGTACCACGTGAGCGCTGGAGGTCCCTCTCCTTTTATCCTTCCCTACCCTCTTCTCTGGGCAAAGATGTGGTGAAGGGATGTGAGACCGCATCTCTCCTTGTGGACTTAGCTCACAGGACTGCAGGCAGTGTAAGGCAGGGGCTGGCCGCATTTCTCTTTCTTCCTCTGGGCCCCACGCTATGTGTGGACAGGCAATTTCCCATGTGCCAACCACTGCACCGTGTGCTGGACCCAGAAGGAGTGGATTTTGCTAGGTTGTGCTGAGGCTCAGAGAGCTAAGGCCATGTGAAACAGGAAAGACTGGTTAAGATCGAGGTTTACCACCATCCCAGGCTTGGTCGCTACCCTGGAAGCTGCCTGCCGAGTACACGGCCCCACTGAGATGCTAGAAAGGTCATGAAGTCCACCTCTGGGAGTTATCCGTGTAGGAAGGGTGCTGGCTGGGCCATTAGGGGTCACACAGCCTCTGTAGGGACAGCACCAGGACAGATCCTGGGTACAAGGCCCGAATCACATGCTTGAGACCTCCGAAGGAAGGGAGTCCTGTTCAACAGCTGCACTGGCCGGTGGCCAGCAGCTCACCTCTGCCGGGGCCCTTGCTGCAGAAGACGCGGTTTTCCTGCAGATGCCCCCAAATTGTAAGCAGGATGCCCCATACCCCAGAAACTACCTTGCAGGCATCTCTCCCCAGCACTGGGAGCTGCTGCCTAGAAGCTCCTGCCAGCATGGGTGGGTACGGGGCCCTGGTTGCCGAAGAGTTTGGGCACTGAGTGAACCCAAAGACGGGGGGAACCTCAGAGTATGCTCCGCGGGTCAGGGGCCAGGGACCCCAGTCTCCAGGGTGCGTGTTGGTGGGACAAGATTTCTGCATCACAGCTTGGCTACCTCCTTGCCTGTCAGAAACCGAGTGCGCAAACCAGCTCCTCAAGCTGCAGCTGCACCGACTGTAGACTGGCATGAGGCACTGCGCGCTGCCCCAGGCCGTGAGGACCCGAGGGAGCACTGCACTGGAAGTGTTCGCCGCAGATGCCCAGCTAGCGGGAGCTCGCTGGTCTTAGAGGCGGCTTCTCACCCATGTCAGCCCACCAGTTTGGTGGAGCATGCAAGGCAGGGAGGTAGTGAAGGGCGAGGAG